TTGATCCAGCCCACAGTTCGCTGCTTTTTATATCCTTGTTTGAGAATCCTTTAGGAAAACAAGCACTATGTAATTTCTACTTCTGTTTATTTATTCGTGGTTTCTGTGTGTACATGCATGTGTGTGCAGGTGCATTCAACTGTGTGTGTGTGTGCACGTGTGTAGGCCAGAAGTCCACATCGAGTGTCTTCCTTATTGTTCCTCATCTTATTTATTTATTTACTTTGCATTCCTGGGGATTGAACCTAGGGTATCAAGCTGCAGCCCTAACTCACCACTTTATTTTTTAATTTATATGTTTGTATACACACACACACACACACACACACACACACACACTCAGAGGTCAGAAGACAATTTGTAGGAATATATTTTCTCCCTCTACCACATGGGTCAAGCCCTCCAACCTGCTGAGTCATCTTTTAGGCCCTAGGTATAGATTTATAGAAATGGATTAATTTAAGCTATAAGAACAGTTAGCAAGAAGCCTACCACAGCTATACAGTTTGTAAGCAATATAAGTCTCTGTGTTTACTTGGTTGGGTCTGAGCGGCTGTGGCACTGGCGGGTGACAAAGATTTGTCCTGACTGTGGGCAAGGCAGGAAAACTCTAGCTACAAATGGCGCCCAACGTGTTGGCAAGAGTTTCCACCTAAAACCTGAGAAAAGATTCTAAAATGGAGCTAAAAACAGCTTCCTAATTGTCTCTCTCAAATGAGCGGCAGCTGCCAGTTTGAGCTACTTGTGGGTTCCTGGCGCTGGACCTGCAGTATGGTGGGAATGAGGCCTCTGCAAGTGGCACATTAAGCTGTATGGTGGAATTAGCCTTTGCTAGTACAAAACAACAAAAGAGGTTTCTGGGCTACACGCTGCTTGGATAAAAGCATAGACCCACGTTAGCTCCCAGAGCTGGCGGTAAATGTACCACCTCCATGTTGGGAAGCTGAAGTAGGTGGAGCCAGCAGCCATAGCTCCGTTTCAGTCTTACAAATGCTGCAGTTTAAAGCAATAGATTCACAATAAGACAGATTCAGATGTAATAGTTTACAATGTGTGTAAAATATACATAGGCTTGAAAGAGACAAAAAAGGTGATATATACAGTTATATAAACAAATACGTAGTTCTAAACAATAAAGTCTTTAAAGAGACAGTAAAATTAATATAAAAAATAAGCCACATAATGATGAATATTACACAAAGAATCTGGATTGTGTTGTCTTTGGGATTTTTAACTGCAGAAAAACATTTGATCATAAAAGATGTTGAGTTAAACCAATATGTATATATTAAAGATACCTTGACTTCAAAATTTGGATGTAAGGATGTGTTGCTTTGGAAAGGAGGCTCTGCTTTTGTTCCCACAGAAAGCCAGAGGCTATGGATTTGTTCCAGATTAAGATACATCAGGTTTGACCAGCCAAGACCACCTGAAAGGTCTCAGATGACACCATGGCCCAGATAATCCAACATCCAGATCAGATTCAAGGCAACTGGCTCAGACAATACAGCCTCGTGGACTATTCCATAATCCTAAAATTTTCTTTGTGTCCCCATAAGATACAGTGCCCCCCTCCAGCAGGAAGTAGTAAGAGAAGCTACGCCCAAATTCCCAAATTATATGTAATTTTACTTTGTTAAGGTTAAAACCTTACTTTTTGAAAAAAAAAAAAAAAAGGAAGTGCTGTGGGATGTTCTGTATGGCAAATGTGTTGCTCTGATTGGTCAATAAATAAAACACTGATTGGCCCATGGCTAGGCAGGAAGTATAGGCGGGACCAACAGAGAGGAGAAAAGAAAGAACAGGAAGGCAGAAGGAGTCACTGCCAGTCGCCACCCTGACAAGCAGCATGTGAAGATGCCGGTAAGCCATGAGCCACGTAGCAAGGTATAGATTTATAGAAATGGATTAATTTAAGCTATAAGAACAGTTATCAAGAAACCTGCCATGGCCATACAGTTTGTAAACAATATAAGTCTCTGTGTTTGCTTGGTTGGGTCTGAGCGGCTGTGGGACTGGCAGGTGACAGAGATTGTCCTGACTGTGGGCAAGGCAGGAAAACTCTAGCTGCATTGTTCTGCCTGGCAAGTGCTGGAATTGAAGGTGTGCACCGCCCTTGTCAACCTTCAGCCAATCTGCAGATCTTGTCTGCTGGACCCGGGATCTGAGAACTTGAAAGGATGGGGCAGACTACAGTCTAATGCTGTAGACAACCTTACCTCAGCTTCAGTGTACATTTATACACGAATGTAACAAAGAAAGCAATGAGCTAAGGAAGATTGTTGTGTTCAGAAAAACATCATCAGAAGAACATGTAAATAAACACCAGTAAGCACATACTAAATATTAACAGAGCAACCCTCTCCCTGAACTTTCTCAGGACAGAGCAACTGAGCACAGTTGCCTGGCTCATGCTATGGATTATATCTGGGAAAGGAAGAAAGCAAGGCTGCTGGGGAATGTCTTTCTGTACGCTGGGAATATGTTGTTCCCATCGGTTAATAAATGAGCTGCTTTGGCCTATGGCAAGGCAGCCTAGAGGCAGGCAGGAAATCCAAGGAGAGAGACAGGAAGAGAAAGGCAGAGTCTGAGAGGAGACTCCAGCCAGGCACCCAAGGAGCAAGAAGCCAGCAGACTGGTAAAGCCTTGGAACATGTAGCAAAACATAGATTAATAGAAATGGGTTAATTTAAGATATAAGAGCTAGCCATACAGTTTGTAATTAATATAAGCCTCTGTATGTTTATTTGGATCTGAGCAGCTTCGCAACCTGGAGGGACACAGGAAAACTTCCAACTACACAAGGCAGAAGGCCGTATCCAGATTCAGGGTACACTGACCTGATTGGGTTCTATAGTTATGTTGTGACATCCAACAAGAATAAACATGTCTTATAAATTGAATGTAAATGTTTATCACAGGAGGTATGAAAATCATGTCCAAGAACAATCCGGGGAACACAATTCACCTGATGTAAAAGGCCTTCTGCCCCCCCCTCCCCAGCCTCTCCCATAGTTCCCCAAGGTGCTGTTCTCCACGGGTCGTTCCTTTGACTGAGTCCCGACACTCCCTCTCCTCCTCTACCCTATTTTTCGAGGCAGGGGCTCTCACTGGATCTGGAGCTCGCCATTTCAGCTACACTGGCATAAGCCCCCAGCATCCACTTGTCTCTGCTCCCTTCCCCCAGTGCTGGGACTGGGACAAGTGCTCCTGCACCAGCTTTTACATGGAGATCCAAACCCAAGCCCTCAAACTTCACCCCTGGGCATCTCCCAGCACTGGTAGTTGAGATTTGTCAGTTGCATAGAAGTTTTTGGCTCCTAGGCAGATTCTAAAGTGCGGGGCGGGGCTTCGTTCCTTGTGGAACTCTTCCAGAGCTGACTCCACAGGGGGTTCAGGCTCGCTCGCTCTCCTTGCTGCTGCTCCAAAAGTTAATATCTGTGGCCTGGCCGTGACAGTTTCCTCCTAAGGTTGGTGCTTCCTTCTGCCTCACTCACTTAGTCCAGGTCTAACCACCATTAACCGTTTGCTCTTTCTTGTCGACTTTCCTGCACTAGAGATACCAGAGAGCAGGTGAGAACAGCACACTCCTTGGTGTGCCCATAAGAGCACTTCTAGAGATGCTTGGCATGTGGGATGGTAACTGAGTGGGAAAGGCCTGCCCTAAATGTGGGTGACGTCCTCCAGTAAGTTGGCAGCCTTGACAGGACAGGGTTCAGCCAGCTGACGAAGGTGAGTTCTATCATCTTGAGTGTGTCGGCTTCTCCTGTCATTGCTATGGCCATCAGACTCCAGCTTCTTTGGCCATCTACCACGGATTCACACCAGTGACTCTCCAGGGATCTTCTAGGCCCTCAGCAGTAGCTGGGACTGGAACACTGGTCTCTCTCCTCCAGAACTTTCTGGCTGCTCAAGTCGAGCAGCTCCCGGGTTCTCTGGCTCTCTAGTTTGCAGAGAGCTGGGGCTATCCAGACTCTGTGTAAGTCGATCTAATACATCCCTATACAATCATTTCCTATTCTGTTTGTTCTGTTCCTCTAGAGAACTCCAGCTAATACAAGTCAATTAGCAATAGTCTCTATATTTGACAAGCTTAACATTTTACCAGTAATCTGTTCTATATAAAATATGGTTGCCTTGTAAGATGTGGTCTCATCATAGTATTAGGTCCACTATGTTGTTGTTAGAAGATCTACTGTTGTTATAATAGAGATGTTCTTATTTATATGAGCTAAAAGAGAAATACCTCCAGTGAGCAAACGGATGTGTTTACACTAAATTGCTCCCTCTCTCTGGCAGCTGCGGCCTTGTTTAGTGAGTAAGTTGGTTTTCCTAAAACCATCTTCCCAGGAGGCTCAGCGCTCAGGCAGACAGTCCATCTGGGCCTTTATTCAAACATGTTTACATGGTCTTTACCTCATCTGCCTTTCCTTAAAAACTTTTCTGATTACCATGTTCTTTTTCCCCTACAACATCTGTGTGCCTGCCACAGGGGTCCAAAGGGGACAAAGACAACTGTCTCAGCCAGTGTTCTACTGCTGTGAAGAGACTCCATGACCACAGCAGCTCTTATGAAGGAAAACATTTAATTGGGGCTGGCTGACAGTGTATAGGTTTGGCCCATTGTCGTCATGGTAGAATATGGCAGCATGCAGGCAGACATGGTGCTGGAGAGGTACCCGAGACTTCTACATCTGGATCCACAGGCAGCAGGAAGAGAGGAAAGACACTGGAGATTTCTGAGTACCTTCAGGAGCTCCAGGAAACAGTTTGCCTTCGTGCTCAGGCCGTGGGCAGAGGGAAGAGAACACCGTCTTCACTGAGCTTTGTCGTCAACACCGTTTTCCCTCTCCCAAGCTCCTGGTGTTGACTCCCAGCCGCAGGAGGCTCTGACAAGGGCCCAGAATCTGTTGTGTCTATTTCAGCTTTCTCTCCATCAGATTATTATCCCTCAGGTCCTGATGACTCTCACATGTGCATTTATTTTATTTTATGTGCAGGGTGTTTTGCCTGCATGCGACTCTGTGCTCCCTGTGCATGCAGTGCTTGAGGAGACCAGAAGAGGAACTGGATTGTTGGCCACTGTGAGTACTGGGAACCAAACCTGGGTCCTCTGGAAGGGCAGCCAGTGTTCTTAACCACCATCTCTCCAACCTTCTCTCCTATCCATACTAAGAGGCACGTGCTGGATGGCTGTGATCTGAGTGTGTGTGTGTTCATATGTTGAAACAGCATCCTCCCAATGTGAGGCCTTTGGGGGAAGTGATCAAGTCATGAGAAATTGATTCCAATTCTACAAAAGGGATTGGAGACCTTATGAGGGACTGACAAGAGCTAGTTTCATCTCTTCCACCCTGGGAGGACACAGCAGGTGCTGCCTGGGAAGCAGAAAGAAGCTCTCACCACACACCAAATCTGCTGGCACCCTGACCTTGGACTCCTAACCTCCAGAGCGGTGAGACATTAATTGCTGTTGAATTTTGTTGCTGCAGCAGAAGTGAAAAAAGACATGTACTGTCGACATCTTCATCAGTTACAGAGGAAGTTTCAATGAGAGTGCAAGGCATAGAGTGCAAGGCCTAAAGAGTGCAAGGCCTAGAGAGTGCAAGGCCTAGAGAGTGCAAGGC